TTCGGGATAAACTCGGGATCTGTTCAGATTAGTTCTGTTCTTGTTAACTGTACTTTTTGCACAGTTTATTTTTTCTCAGCTAAAAAAAGATTAAAAAGTGTGCAGCGTTATAATTTGAAAGGGATTTAAGATTGGATTTTCCGAAGGGATAAATTCGGAGTAAATTCGAGATTTATGCAAATTGGTTTTGTTCTTCGATCTGATCTTTTTAGCTAAACTTTTTGCACAGTTCATGTTTTCTCAATTAAGAATAATAAATCTACTATAAATAACTATCAAAGGCAATTTGTATATATCAATATATCATATATCAACGATAAAATATAATATATTAACGTTTTCAACTTGCATTTAAGATCTGAAGATGAAATGTATGTAGCATTGATCACTAAAATAAAGTACATATTTCTGAAACTCTGTTCTTTCTAGCAGAATTTCTTTGTGTTGCACAATTAAACTTTTCTTTTTTTCTCCAATGCGAAAAGAAAAAAAAAAGAGGAAACATGAACTATACATATACGAAGTTTAGCTAAAAAGAATAGGCCTTCTAACTGCTAAAATAGCAGTGTAATAATGTATACATATATCAACATATTGAAAAAGGTATGTCAATAGATTTTCAACTTGCATCAGTAAAAATCAGTAAAAAGAAATTACTTTTTTTAACAAACGATGCCGCATCTAGGTGATCAAGCTGTCCATAATTATCAAAAATTCGAGTCCGTTTAAACTCCAATTAGGTCACTTAGAATCCATTGAATCGATGAACAACGGGGTCCATGCGACAGGTCCGATTCACTCTTGCAATCGGACATGCCATTGTCCGTCGAGGTCCTTCCTTTCAAAGCGCTAATAAGATCGAAATCCGGCGTGTGGCGCGCGGGCGAGGTCGGGCGGCCTAATTCAGCGTGGGCCAGGCGCGCAATTGTTCGAGCTTACCGTCGTAATTCTTCAATTTCGTAGCGGCCTTTGTCGGACGAATTTAGACGGCGAACTGAGATCGTATGCGCGCCTTCAACGGGTGCGACTCCTTCGTCCTTGTCCGTCGTCAATGCCGAGTGTCTCCGACCTCGCCAATCGTCCCTGATATCCGTTTCGCGTCACCTCGACCTCTGTCAAACGGGCGTTGTTTGAACAACGACAATACATTAATTTTTTATTCTCATGTATTGATTAGTATTATTACTGATTATCTCAATAATAATTATATTGCTTCTTTATTTTAAAAGTGATACAATTAAAAAATTAATTTTTCAAAACAACTAAAAAAAAATCAAATTTTAAGACACAACTCAAACTTCAGATTTTTTTTTAAGTAAAAAGAGGAACCTGTTTCCAACTTGACAGAAAATTATTGACAATCAAGAAATATCGACAAAAAGAATATATTCTTATGATCATACGTCAGTTTTCTTATTTTCGTTTCACGACCCTTAAAAAATCATCCTTTCGAATTTACCTGATTTTTTTTCACTGTTCTTTTTGAGTTGTAATTTTTTTATGAAGTTAAATTTAATTCATCTTTGATGATTAATAGGATAATGTTTACCTAACTCTTTCATGTGATGGCGTTTTAACTCAAAATGATATTTTTCAGAATCGTGTCACTTTTAACACTTCAGTAAAGGAGTGACATGTAATTGTTTACTATTTATGAAGAGTTGCAAAGTTAATTAACGTCGACACCTGGAAAAATTGTTAGCGTCATTAGCGCAGATATTGGAATTTATAAGACTGAAGGCAACGTCAGTGGGGAACGACTTTAATTTAATGTCTAATTTAATAAACGACACGACCCGCTCCTTCGCCGCAGAAATTCGCAAAACTGTCACGGGAAGAAAACAGGTAGAAAACCAAGGGGGGGGGGGGGGAAATAAGCGAATGTGCTAAGAAAACGTAATCGAGAATGAGAGACCGAATAAAAGGGAGAAAGGTGCGCGTTGATCGATTTGTAAATACATAACGAATGCTTGTTGTATTTATATAGTGTTATATACGTTAAATATATCGACCTAAATGAAAGTAGCAGTTAATAAAAGCAACTGAAGTAATCTTGGACGAATTAACCGTTAGTCGTAATGTTACAGCGAGACTAATTATTATAATAAGGGAAGCGCGTCGGGCGAGGATGCGAGTACTCACGCCGAGGGGATTTTTCGTCGAACGCGTGTCGCATCCCTCGTTTGTTATTGCCATTTGCCTCGTAGCGAAGCGATCTGTCTTATCATACTCAAAGAAAACAGTGGTGGTGACCATAAAGGTGACAACTATATAAGTTTTATATGTACATTTAATGCACACAGTTGAATAAACTATTTTACAGTTATCGTAACTATAAAATAATTTATTTAACTATGTATATAGCCGTATACAAAGAAGAGCAGGGGGGCAATTATCTCTTTAAATTTTAGCAAAGAGAAATAGTTAAATTATGAAACTATTTTTATGATGAAAAGTTAAACACTAATTGGTCAATTATCATGTGTTACTCGAAAGTTCGGTAAAGATCCTCGAAGACTGGCTTTAATATAAATATTTTAATTTTTGTGAAGATAAAATGTTTATTCCTCTGTGCCTGAAATCTTGGGGATTGACACCGAATCATTTGGAACTCAATATCAAAAATTGAGAGTCAACACTCGAACTTGATGTTGACACCGAATTATTTGGGGCTCAACATCAAAAATTGAAAGTCAATATCCAAACTTGTAGATTGACACCGAATCATTTAAGGTCTACTCTGAAAATTTAACGATCAACCCCCAAATTTTGAGTGTTGACACCCAATTTTTATAGTCAATCCTCAAATTTTGTGGTCAACCCTCACACAGTTTGGGGTTTTTTTTCATAAAGGTATTTATGTTAGTATTGTATAAACGTTGCTTACGTTGAAACTAACCATAGAAATGTATTGATTTACATTCTGACACACATTTTTTAATTAAAAATAACAAAATATTATTTAACTCAAGAGAATGAATTATCACCTGCTCCTTTGATTCTAACAGTGTGTGTGTATACATTAATTTTACATATAAAACTAGTTATCATCTTTATAGTCACTAGCACTGTTCTTCTTTGAATGCACAGTTTCCTTCGTTCATCCCGAATGCGGGATACGTATAACGGACGAAGATGTACGAACAATTTCATCACTATTCGATCGAATCGCTTTGTAATTATACCTAGAGAGCGGAAGAATGTGTGTATGGGAGAGAGAATGAGAAAGAGACGTTTCGACTACGCTGTATAACAATTATTAGCCTAGCGTATTTTATGATAAACACTAACAGGACCCGCAGTTTCCTACGGAACTATTGCGTTACACGTTTAGCTATTTAATGCGTTTTTATCGCAATATTTATTGTTGCGCCTGCGTTTACTATGTGATATAGGGCTACTTATACTATTATCTCGTTGTTCGCGGTCCCGTTTAATTAAGCGCGACTAATCAACGGGAGTCTCCCGACAGAGCGGGAAGCGAGGAGAAAGCCGAAAATTGCGAAAATACGGCGACCATTCGTGTTGTCAGTGCGATCGAACGTTATAATTTGTTTAATTGATTACGACCGGTCACCGGTCAACTATAAATTGTATTGATAATGCTAATTGTGCGTATAATCCTGTCGTGATTGCAATCAATTGATTTTTCAACAGCGACTCCGTCAATTTGTAACGGAGATGCAGTTTTATTCTCTGGATTCTAATTTCCCACACGGAAAAAAAGATGTATTAAAACAGCATTATTTTAATTAGTAACAGCATTAAATAATCTTGTTAACTTAATAACAGTTTTAATGAAACAAATAAAATTTTATTAAAACAAAAGCATGACATGTGTGTTTCATTAATAGTGTTGTTAAATTAACGTATTAGTTTTATTAAATTATAATTAAAAGTATTTTCAATTAAAAAATAATACTGTTATTATATATGTATAACATCATTTTTTTCAGTGTATTATTCCGTTTGTGAATTCAGCACTTTTAATCGCCTCTTTATCGCCTAGCTATGGGAAAAACTGACGAAACCAGATGGAATTCAAGCTAAATAACTTAATTTCAAAGCCAGTCCCGATCCCGTTGTAGACGAGCGAAGATGCAGTGTGTATCTCAAATAGTTCCGATCAGCTTTCGATTAAAGCACTTATCGAAATTGAACGAGAAAGCGTTATCGAAGCGAGCGTAATTAAAGGATGATGTAGTGGAGAAGACAAATGCGATCGAGATGAGCAATTCTGTATATGTATATATATGTGTGTGGGTGTGTTTATGTGCGCACATATTTCATGTACGTGCATTCTAAATTATATACATCTACACACACGCTAGCGTGCGATAGACACGTGCGCGCGTATTACTATAAGTGTTATACCGAGAGATTAAGCAAATTATTATTATTATTATTATTATTAATGATTGCGTTCAACAGAAAAGGCAGCTTTTTTTGCAACTGCTATAAAGTTTTTTTATATGATTGGTTTGTATATTTAGATTCAGTGAAAGGAATTAAGGGCAAGAACCAATTACATTCAAAAATTGTACAACAGTTGCAAAGCTGCTTTTTCTGCTGAACGCAATCAATTATCGCGGTTGATCACGTCGCAACGGCACATCCGCCGATCGTTGACGATCTGTAAAAACTGTTTACGAATGAATGGCAAATAAAATATTATACGACAACGAGTCTACCTGTTATTGCATCGAAAAATAAAAAATACTAATCGTAAAAATAAATAACGATAAAATTATCATCGAAAGGTAATTGTTGTTTTAAGCCATTAAGAGAGACGGTGAGTATTCATTTCATATTTATAATAAAATCATGAAAGTATAATTACTAGAGATCTTTGAAAACTAATCGTGTAATTCTAATTATAGATTCATTTATTTTGTGATGCTGAAAAATTTATTTTTTAATTATAAGATATTTAAGTTTTGCCACAGATTCTACTTTGTTACTATGACTATCAACGGAATATTTAATAAATACTCGCGCCCCACTTTTTACATCGTAATGTTTTATTGCTGTTATAATTACAATATCTGCACTTTTTATCACGTAATGCGTGTAATATAAATATATGTAACATGGCAGAATTAATAATGATATCATTGAAGAACTTCTCGCCACTGTAATGTGGCATATGTATTTTTTTTTTGAAGTGCGACTTATTGTCGTCGTATAGTGAAATTCACTCAAATGAGAATTGAATATTTAGAATACGGTGTTCTCCATCTTCCTTGTTTTCTCATTATGCCCAGCTCTAAATTTGTAAAATCTTCACATGATAACTGTGAAGAGTCAAATGTACGAAATTGCTATAATCTATACATCGCATTACAATTCTTTTGGCAAAGTATAAAAGTCTTAATTATTATATTCTAGAGAAGACATTTTTTGGAATCCTTTTCAGAATTAATTGCGTATCCAATTAGGCTCTCTGATTATATCTTAAATTTTCAATCTCGCGGAATGATTCTTGTTCACGATGTTTTCATTCTATAGTAATTATCATTGAAATCCGACCTTCGAAATAAATATGTTGCTTACAGTTTTTATTAAATCGCAACTTTCCAACCCCGATATTAAATACTTTAGTATTTATTTAGATTTTAATATTTCTTCTTCTCCAAAGAGTTATCGCAACAGCTTTCGACGATGAGTAGTGCCTTCTCTGACGATTGTTGATAAATCAGATGATAGATCAGTTGATAGATCAGAAATCTAGTCTTATCGATTTATCATGTCCTCCCGATGTCGTTCCGATATCCGATAACATGAATGACACATCGTTATATTAACATATTTTTATCTGAATTATCTTCTTTAATCTTCTCTGTTCACTTCCGCGAACATCGTCACAAGTAATACATTCTTCGATAAGCAAACTTTAATGCATGCAATCGCTTTTCTTAATCAGACTTAAGAGCTGGATTAGCATCTGGATGCCATCTCGGTAGTTTCGATCCAAGTCGTTATTCTCACCCGGGAAGACGTGTGTAAAATCGATCATTTTCACTCTGACCCATTTGTTCTCCGCGTTTTCATCATCATTCTGCGTAACATCGTTTGTACACGAAAGTGAAAATTGGCTCGGACTAGACTGGCATAACCGGTCCATGTTTAAATTGCGAGTTTCGCTTTGATTAGGTATATTTTCGCTTGGCATCGACATAGGCTCGCTTAAGCTTTTTTTTATCTTTGGACGAAACGTTAAATCGTCCGTTTCAGATGAATTCGGATGCATTCCAGGTACTGTTAATGGGGGAACTGACTCACATATCGTTTCTTTGTCGAATTTCGGCGCTGAATGAGAGACAGAACAATCATCTTTCAATGAACAATACTGTCGTAAATGTTGAGCATCGTAGGCGACCAGAAGTGAGCTGGAATAGAAGCAATATTTCCGCTGCATGTTGAAGAATCGTTCGATCTTGTACAGGTATGTCAAAATTTCGGAGACCAATTGCTGGCAGACTGACTTTCCAGGTATCTTGTTCAAGAAATCTTCTAGTGCTGCGTGAAGATAAGAAGAAAAGTATTAACGCGGTTTCGAAAAATGATAAATGAAAAACGTTTTATCGCTAGATTGTAAAACACGTCGTAAAGGTCCTCTTTCCTTTATTTGTGTCTGAGCTAATGATTAATTTTCTTAATGATCTTAGAACGTCGATTATTATTGCTTAACGGTAATATGATTTAATTTGAATTAAATAATATATTTTTTTTTAAATGGAATATATATACGATACCGATTATACTTTAAATTCTTAGGTTATACTTTTTGTAAAGACATTACGGAACGTTGGTCAACGTTCTAGAATTAAAACTTCGTTCATAAATATCAAAATTGGAAGGTATATTAATTTCGATTTGTAATTGATCATCAATGAGTTAAAAAGATGAGTTAGCCTTAACCATGTTCGAATCGAAAGCAGGCTATTCGATTATTTGAGAAAATTTATTACCCCATCCTGAAATAGACTTTTAATACTCATGAAATTTGAAATCGTTTATATGGAGTAATTATTTGTTTTTTTTTGTCCTTATCGATTTCATATGTCTTCTAAAACTCTAAAGCAGATACCTTCCACGACGCCCTCGACACCGAGTAGCTTGCCATAATCTCTGTCATATTTCCTTAATCGTCCAGATAAGACAGAATATACTTGATAACCTGTTATACAAAAACCATAAGTACGCTTCGATTCGGCATACTTAAGTTCTTCCGTTCTCCTTTTCTCTGGTGTGGCCAAAGGATCCCACGTGCGAAAACCAATCTTGATATCTATCACACATGGCTCGGCCATGCCCTTTGTAATATTCCTAAGTATGAGGAATTTCGTACCTGTTATCGGACAAAACGGTTTAATGAAAAAAAGATATCTAGATAAAACATTAGCCATCCAAATAATATTATATTTACATCTCACGCCTGATAAATTAATTCTTATATTACACAATTACAGATAATATGTATATAAATTATATAAATATACAAATATATATATATATATACATATACGCGCACACGTGAAAGTTTTAAAAGAGTTAGGTCTTATTTCACAGTTTATTTACAAAGTCATCGTATCACATTTGCGCGAACTGTCAAGAAAATCCTTACGGTTATTAAAAACACGTAGTTCTGTTGTGCCATAATAACGTGGAACGAATTTTTTTAATTCCAATGCGACGGGATCATGAGAATTCTTCAAGCTCTCGTAGAATGCAATTTCTCTTTCTCCAATGATTATTTTAGTCGCTGGTTTCAGTATGTGACCAGTCCGTCTGCAAACCAGCATGCCTGTAATCAAAGATAATTCCTCATGTTATTCATGTACAAATATTTATTTACTATTGATAAGCACTGAATTCGCTGAATTGATTATATTTCATTGATATAAAATATTAATATCTTTGTACCTTTTTTTTTTTATAAATCAAACATTGTAAACAGGAAAAACACTGCTTTGCTTTTGCTTTAGATCATCATATTGAAAATAAATAAAAATGTGTAAATTTATTTTAGCAATTAGTATAGTTTTTATAGTACTTTTTAAGCATGTATAAAAATATAAGCAAAACAGAAATTGGAAGTGAAATAATTAGAGTGAAATAATTGCTAGTTTAGTATTAAAAACTACATATAAATAAATTATGTTAATTCCAAAAATGTCCAGAAAATTTTTAATTTTTGTTAATGAGTATCATTTTACGAATATATATAAAAAGGTTTTAATATAGAAATAAACGTACAAAATGTTTAAAACGTCCATTATTTTTTATTAATTATTAACAAGTACTAATATAAATATTAATTACATATTAAATTAAGTATATAATTAAAAGTATATAACTAAATCTTATACTGAATCGCACTTACCGATAGTCTGTCTTTCGCCACTGAAGGGATGACCGGCTATTTGGCATTCCAACGGTGTCAGTTCACCAGGAAACATACAACCGGATGGCCCGGGAACCGTCGTATTATCCCATTGTATATGTGGCAGTTTCTCGATATCATCATCTGCGTCTACGGTCGTCATAATTAACAGCGATCTGTGCGGTGACGATTATCTGTAAATTAAACAGTTCCGTGATTCTCAGAGCTCGATCTTATTATAAGACAGTTTACTCCGCTGAGCTCGTATTTTTCAATAATGAGCAAGCGAAAATAATATCTTCGCGTTATCACGTTTTGTTACCGCGATAGCCTAACACAAGGTCTATTCTTTATAGTCGCATTATGTTAAACTTTCCGCGCTTAAAATGAAACAGCTGATGAGAAAAAAAGAAAAACAACGACGTATAAGTTCAACTATAAAGAACAGATCCATTGTTTCATTATTACAATTTGAAGACCATCCTGAAAAGAGAAAAAAAGAAAAAGAATTCGTCCTTATATTCATTATCTCTTTGTCTTGTTTTTTATTAGCATAATAGACTGTACTGTAAAAAAATATGTTTAATTAGATAAATATGTAAAAATTACACAATTTATGATGTTAATATATAAAATAAATTGTGCGTTTTAAAAAAATTAATACTTTTATCTCTAATTGTGTAAATATATCTTTATATTAAATAGAAAATTACAATAGTAAATTTTTTCTAATTAATAATTTAATAATATAATTGAATTATAGACTCTTATATGTTTCAAAAACAATACAAAAAATTTAAGCAAATACAAAGGCTATTAAGAGTCAACGCTGTTAGCAGTGCGCAAAAACACAATCTTAAAATCTATAACATTAGATACCATGTCGACATAGATACCAATTCGACATGGTATCTATGTTATAGATTTTAAGATTGTGTTTTTGCGCACTGCTAACAGCGTTGACTCTTAATAGCCTTTGTATTTGCTTAAATTTTTTGTATTGTTTTTTCTAATTATTATTAAAATTACGAATTTTTGTGATATTAGAATATAATATGATATTAAAATATCACACATATATTGTTATATTCGCACATTTTAGTAATATATATAGTTTAAGAAAAATTACGTACATAATTCGTTGACGAATTATATATACAATATTGGAATATTTTTATAAACTTAATTTTAATTATAAATTTACTCTTGCAAACTATTTAATTATTATAAAAAAGAATACTTTTATTTGTAAGTTGTGACGTTTTATTTTATAAAGTGTATATATAAATGTATACACTCTCTTTTAATAGTGAGTCCCAAAATTGTTCACTTGTAATTTTACATGTAATTTTTTGCAGTGTGCACTATAGAATTTTTCTTTCTTGCTCTCGCACAATTTTGAACATTTCACCAATTTTGAACGATACAATTTCACTTAAAGTACAAAAGGTTGAGCTATAAAAACAAAACAGACCCCTTTTCTCTCTTTTTCTTCACGAAAATTAAAACTATTCCGATTATTTAAAAGTTTATTCGCATATCGAACATTCGTGTGAAAATCCTCGCCGTAATACGCAGTATTAATTTCCACACTCCTGCTATAATCTCTAGCTTCTCTTATCTCTTTATCTATTCCTCTTATGAGATTTGAGATTTTTTTCTTACAATCAATATAAATGTTGACAAGTGCCCACAGCAGCGTTGATTCGTTCTGATATCGTGACGACGCAAAATGATAAGGCAACAGATTTTTTTCTCCTTTTCTTTAAGATTCTTTTTCAAGCTTTTTGAAATCTGAAGCGAGATAGGTCCGCGAATGACCCCACGATCCCGATTTCATTATTTCTGCTGCGGAAAGCGCGCCTTTGTCCTTTGCCACGCCACAGATTTGTTATCGTCACGTCACACTGGGTGCTCCGTAAACACGACTTACCTCAAGATCTTAGGGCGGGTATTTATAGTCGGATCTTATATTTAGGATTGTCTTAAGGTGTTATGAATCAATCAGAGAATATTAGCTGTATTAAGCTAAACAACTATATTAGCATCTTAAGACATTACTTAAGACGGTCTTAAAATAAGAATGAACTATAAATATCACTCTTAGATCGGTATTCATAATTGATTCTTATATTAAGACCGTGTTAAGTTCAGTCGTGAGGTATCACGAAACAATCAGAGGGCCACGTTAGTGTCTTAAAACATTACTTAAGATGATCTTGAAATAAGAACCGTCTATGAATACCAACCTAAGTCTTGAAATACAATAGAAAAAGTAAGTTGTAAGCTGTAATGCCTCGTTTACAATATGCAGAGTAAGCTTGATGTAAAAAGTAAAAGTAAAGAATTGATCAATCATAGTCGAATACGAGAAGAATAATTGATTACTTTGATTTATATCATTTCTTCCTCTTACTTGTCATCAAGCTTACTCCACATATTGTATACACTGCATATTGGCCAATTACAGTCAAATTGACTGTGACTGGTTAATTTCTTAAAATTTATTAAATCTATTATGTTTCGGGATTTATGTCTATTCTATAATAGCCATAAGCAATAAAAATTGTTGGATCTCTTAGTTGATTATTCTCATATTTGACTATGATTAAACAATTTTTTGTTTCTTATAAGTTGAAATCTCTTATTCCTAGTTCTCTCTTATAAGGTCTGTGCTTTTTATTGTATTTAAAGTTTAATAGATCTTAATCTATGGCTTAATGCATATATGAAAATAGGTAATAGAAATAACAGATTTCAACTCTCTACATTCTTCGAAGTAGAATCTCATTTTAAAACTGTGATAAGACTAGAAATTGAGATTGAATTAGAATTTAATCAAAAGAAAGAAAACCAATCTCAAGTTTAATAAACTTTGTTTTGAACGATGAAATTCCAATTTCAATCTAATTTTAATCTCTAATCTGATCACAGCTTAAAAAGAAAATTGTAGCAGTCTTTAAAACAAATGACTAAATTTTCAATCCTTAAGTGTAAGATTCATTCTACAAGTTTTTGAGAGAACCATGTTTATCGAATACATGATTTCTGATAGATTGAAAACTGTTATTTCCTGTTTGTGCTTTTTAATTCTATAAATCATAACAGAATGGCTGACTTATAATCTTAAAACAATATCTTATGATCTAAGTCTTGTTTTTAATAACATACAATAATTATCTTATGACTCAAGTCTTAAAGGTATATACGCATACGAGGCATCACACCTCATGCATATTTTAATATTGAATCATAACAAAACTATTACTGTACATTACTAAAGATAAAAGACTTGGGTCATAAGACATTGTCTTAAGATTAAAAATTAGCCATTCTCCTGAGGTCCTATCTAAAGCTTAAATCTGAAACATAAGTAAAAAAAAAACACAAACAATAGGAAAAGACCATAATAGACTTCAACTTATCAGAAACCAAAATATACAATTTCTCATAAGTTAAACTATATTATTTCCTGTATTTTTAACTTATGTCTCAAACTTATCCCTCGATAATATACAATCATCTTACTGAAAAAAAAGTTCTAACCTCACACTTTTCTTCTCTGCCGTTCTAACGTCGCCTTCGATTTCTGTTATCGTTCGCGGCTACGTTTCGCTTGAAGATAACGAAAGATCGATATCTTAAACACGCACTCACTCTCTCCCTCTCTATCGGTCTGTCCTCCGGTCCGTTATTATCCTGATCTCGTGTGCGTGATACTATAACCTATATTGGCGAGCGCGGCGCGAAGACGCGTGATAATCGCACATGGACAAGGGAACGTTTCAGGATCTTGTCTCGTTAAGCGAATAATCCTTCTTCTCGCTGATGACCGATCAGGATTTGTTGATAATTTACGTTGCACTGCGTCGCATTACTTTACGTTACGTTCTTTCTTCGTTTTATACGTCCACTCCGGTCACTATCACAAAATCATTCTGTTCAACAACTCTCTTCCGTTAGTTCTGTTGTGCGTCCGCGGTCTTCTCCCCCCTCCCCCCCTTCTATCGTGCTATCAAGGCACACAAGGCGGTCTAACGTACCTGTCGCCATCTATCACGAATGTTCGCTCTAATCTAAAGACCTGTTTATAGTCTACAGAGAAAAAAGAACCTTTCCCATTTTATGTACTTTTTTACTTATTTATAGGTCTGTTCTTTTTGACTGAATTTTTTTAGAAAGATATTTTGTTTACATTTTGAATTTATAAAAAAGTTATTATGAGATAATCTTATATTAGGTTGTTTGGAAAGTTCGTCTTAAATTTTCTAGCTCAAAATAGTATATTGTATGTACATACATTAAAAAAATTAGCGATTATGCCATTCGATAGAACAAAGTAGCAGCTCTAGAATTTGATTTTTTGATTGCGGTACAATGATTTTTAAAGGAATAATTAAAATCGAAATGTTAATCTTTACTTAACTTGTGAATATAACTCAGGAACACAAAAAATCGTAGGAACATTAAAAAAAAATAATTTTGTAGGGAAAGCTTTAGGGCGACTGTCACCAACGCCGATTAACTTAATCGACGATTAGTCCATTGGAATTGACCAATCGCGCCTGTCGTCACAACTAAATGATAAATGCGATTGGTCAATTCCAATGGACTAATCGTCGCTCTTAACTTTCACGACAAATAAAATAATAAAAAAAATTTCGCAAATTTTATTTGGGCACGTGAAAGACCCATAAATGAAAAGAAAATTTTTCATCTTTTTTTAGCTCGTAGTTTTTTATACGTAAAAATTACCAAATCCATATAAACTAAAAAATTATAGAAACCTTTTGAAAATAGAGATTTCAAACTTTAAAATCCTTTTCTTTTTTAAATTAAAATTTTGTTTATTTTTTACGAAGATGTCAACTTTGAGCCAGAAAATTGAAACGATCTTTTTGAATAAAACCTAATATGTTTTTTGCAAAAATAATTAATGCGCCGCAATTACAGTTTAAATTCTCGCGATGACATTTGACAAACATTCGATCAGTATTGACCGGCATGGACGCAATGAATACGCATATACACGACTTCGCGGTAACTTAATAATTGATAATCTTACGCTGAAGCGATTTAATTATACATACATATAAAAGGAGATAAAAAATTTAATTTGCAAGGAGACAAAAAAATAGAAAAAAAAATTGTAGTCAGATCTGTACATATATTTTTATATTTAAAGTTATGTAAGGTTGGAAAAGACGCGATGAATTCGTCGTTTGAGAAAAGATTCGACTATCGATCGTCGTATGCACGGAACAGCGGCCAGCGCGCGCAACTTGGATACTCTAGTCTGCTTCAGTTTAGTGTAATGCACGGCGATGCATTGATGTATAAGTTGGAGTTAGAATGATGTTTGACAGAGCGTGGCAGATCGTTCCCTTGATTTTCGTCGCCACGATTCTGCACCGTGCTTTTGGCGATAGCGTGATCCGAACGAGCGAGAAAAGGCACGGTGGCACGAGCGACTATCAGATGTGCCTTGAGAGCTTCGACATCCACAAGGACAAAATTATTAGGACCCAAGACTCCCGCGATATGGGTGCCAAATACTTGAACGTTCTAGACGTCGACTCCAGATTGGATTGTCTGAAGTACTGTTGCGAGACCGAGCATTGTGATGTGTTTATCTTTGAAGAAAAGGTAATACATGCACAATGTTATTGTATACAGTGTGTGGTTATTAATTTTCATTCCATTTAACTGCTTTACTAGGATCTAGGATAGAAGAAATCATTGCCCCTGCATGATGTATATTTTTTCTCCCATGTCACACTCAAAATGTTAACTTATTGTCAGTAAAAGTATATAGACTTATTATAATCTATTATAATCAGGTCTGACTATATGACTTGGCTTGCCCCTGAGTGTGGAAATTTTGACTAAAGGATGAAAGGGCGAAATCGATAGTTAGGCTACCAATTAAGAGATGACCTTTTTTGTTTTTATTTGTTCTTTATAATCTTAATGTCATTGACAATTACAAAATGCTCTCTGTTAATTCTGCTAATGTATTCATTCATTGCTATAGTTATCATCTATATCCTTCGATGCATTCTTATAGATATGTAGTAGTACATACAAGTCAAGTTGAACAAATTTGTTTTAGTCACTTTTATGTCACAATTTGATTTTTAATCCAATTTTTTTATTTTTTTGAACATTCATTTCTACATTAAGCTAAAGTTTGGATATAAAGTGCTCCACGATTTCAGAGTTATTCACTGTAGTTGCCTGACTAGTAAGTGTATACATCCACCAAAATTAACACTTTGACTGTCATGTAAAAAAATAAACAAGAAGATAAAGGTTTATTATCAGATCAATTTTTTATCTTGTCATTTTGTCTTACAGAAACCGAGTAGCTGCTATCTTTTCCAGTGTGGTCCATTGCACGACTTCAAATGTAAGTTCACAAGGCATGCCAATTATACAAGCGCTGTGCGCACGAGTTATCCTATACAGAACGTACAAGTGGAACAGGAAGTTAGGATATCTCAGCAGGAGCACGAGTTAAAATCCCTTAGGTATTTATCCTCAATGCTTTATTTTCCTTATCAATTTCCTTACATAATTAATTAAATCTTGTATCTTAGAAAAAGCAATGAGATAACGTCGGATTATGGATTCACGGAAACATCTGTTAAACCTGTAGTCACACAAATATCAAAAGTGATAGTAACTACGCCAATACCGGTCAAGCCAGGTATGCTTATTCATTAAGAATATCTGATTATGAGTTATTAAAAAATGAGGAATTGCTAGAGCGATACATAATATAAATCTTTAATAATAGCTTGCACCAGAAATCAATACGAGTGTCGTTCTTCCGGAGATTGCATAGCCATATACAATGTTTGCGACGGTATTCCGCAGTGTGCAGATGGCTCCGATGAAGCGGCAGATCTTGTATGTCCCACGGAAAAACCGACAGTTCCTCCAATAATACAGATGCCACAACCGCCCGCCGATATCCTTCGATATCAACAAATAATCAATCAGCGTAAGCCTCTTCCTCCGTTCTATCCTGGGCCGGAGATTAATCCTAAAACTTGGGATATATCGAATCTGGCCCATCAAATTTCGCAGCCGCAAAATATTCTGTATCCTGGTCAGCCAGTAGAGGTACCGCAGATGCAAATGCATAAGAATTATGGATCGTCAGGATACCAATGGGATTATCAACCTTTGTATGAGCAAAACAAGGATCTTTATGTTCCTGTTAATACTGTTCATGAACAACATATAAATCCCTACGAACGTACGTAAAAAATATTAATTATTATTTTGCTACAAGTATTTGTAATTGGATTGTGTAAATCTTTATATTTTAAATGTTTTCAGAACAACCACACATATTTAATCACAAAGGTTTGAGTGTCATAGAAAATAATGAAGCGAATAGGTAATCTAAACTGTTATACACTTTCTATTGATTATTACATTAAACTGACAAATAGACTCTATTATGATTTACAATTTTATGTTAGGGGACTGTATATGGATTCTAAACATCCATATTCTCCACATTTTTCATCGTCAAATAAAGTGCCAGTTTGGCAAGAAAATTCCGTGCAGGTTTCACCATCTGTTGTACCGAATGCTCAACTTAAGCCAGCTAATGACGTAAATAATCTTGTAATTACGACGACGCCTACTTGTGATGTAAGTAAGTCTCTCGCGCGGCAATTGGAATTATTATAGAATCTTGAAAAGTTATGCAAATAATTTTTAATTAATAGACTTCGGAGGAACATAAAAATGGATTGACAAATGAGAATAACGAATCTGTAAAAAAAGAAAAAACCGATACATATTCGACACATGTAAAGACGATCAAAACAGTCACTGAAAAGCCAACTTTATCAGCAAATAAAGTTACTAAACATAATCATGCAAAAGAATCGAAAGGTAAATGCATTTATAGGATCTGTTTTTTGTTTCTGCACTATCTGAACTAATATACATGGTGCAATAAATTGAAGTGAAACAAATATATATATATATATATATATGTTTGTTATATATATATGTATGTATGTATATATATATATAACAAGATTTATTTTTTTCAGATCATAAAACTGTGATTGTAATCGAAGAGCACACGAAAATACGCGAAAACCCCGATATTATTGCAGAGCATCTTCAAATAATTGAAAATGATGTTTTAAGGCCCAAAGGTGCCGTAATATCGTTATCATTGGGACTTATCGCGACCGCGATCACAGTTACTTTAATTGTCTGCCGATTGCGAGTAGTAAAACGAGGAAGATGCGGACACGGGCCTTTTGCACATGACGCCGATTATTTAGTTAATGGAATGTATTTATAAGTGAATACAAGTTGCTTATATACAATTAATTGCAATCTAGTCATTTTAATGTATTTATTGTATCATATTCATCATATTTTCATACCATGTTGTATTTCCTTAATTAAATTACAAAAATCTATTAACACATATATATATATATATTTATATATGTATTATGTGTATGTATATATATATATATATCTGTTCAAAGATTTATATATATATATATATATATATGTCTGTAAAGATGAAGTTTTATTGTCATGCTTATTTACATTACATAAAATTGTAAGTGTTTTTGTGATTATTGATAGCATTTTGATATAGAAAAATGTAAAAATCAATAAATTTATCAATTATTGTTATATATTGTTACTGCTTTTTCTATATACACAATATATTTATCCTTATCTACATATTTCTCGTGATAAAAATCTCTTGCAAAAGTTTTTGGAATGTAATATAATTAACGAAATTATAAACAATTTTGTCAATTAACATTAGATAATTGACGCCAGATAAAGGTACATTTATAATTATTATTACATTTTTATGCCTTCAAGATTATTCCTAAATATTCATTAAAAGACGAAATATTTATTAGCTTAATATAAGTATTACTTTGCAAATTATTATTTCATATATTTCAACAATAAAAAAACTGATAAATGGCTATTTTATTTATTAACAAAGCTAGAGATGTTCTATAAAATATTCTTATTTAAAAATAGTCTTCTGGTGTATTAAAAACCGAGTTTAATAACGATAGAACATTATAACCATTTTGAACAATACTAATGCACAAAATAAATATAGTCATTGTTCAAATTAATCTCGTTTAACATAAATAACTAAGAGGAATTTTTTACTCCTCAATTATATCTTTAATTGTACAATATTATTTTCAATTATACAATTTAAATTTCTATTGTCTATAATTATAATACATGTATATAACACTAATATAAAAAAAAGTTCTCCCTTTTTTGTGTGTTCATATATTTTCTTATTTATAATTCAATAATTAAGTCGATAAAGGATGCATTATCACAAATACCGATTCTACTTCGTTATACACATAGAATAAATAATATGTCAATAATGCATCATTAAACAGTCATAATGAAAAAATCCAACAATCCCTGCATTCCTTCGGTTTTACAAGATCCTTTTTAGTCACAGTTCATAGATTTCGGTTCGTCAAAATTTATGGACGTGCATTAGCTGCAGCATTTTGTTGGGCTCGAATAAATTCTGGATAATCAATATAACCGTCGTTGTTACTGTCGTCCATGCTAAGTATCGGATCTATCAATTGCACTAATTCTTCATCTTTGAACAATTTATCGCCTTGCACACCACCAGTTTCCGAACCACCTTGTTCTACGGATATAAGGAAAATACTTAAAAATTCATGATTATACAAAATGTAATAATAAAAGAGAGATAGATTTAGTTTATATGTACCATGCCAATGTATAAGAGACTTGATCAGCTCACAACCGTCTAACTTATTGTTATTATCTGCATCATGCATTTTGAAATAATGGAACTGCAGCTCCTGATCTGTCATTTTGCTGGTATCTATTGGTACGTCAGCATGCTCAGCAATATGTCTACAAAAAGAGAAATACTATCATTATTTAATTAATTTATATTACATCTCATAATAATTATTATATATTATTATAATATATGTATCATTATACATGCTTTATATATATATATATATATAAACGAAATATTTATTAGCTTAATATAAGTATTACTTTGCAAATTATTATTTCATATATTTCAACAATAAAAAAACTGATAAATGGCTATTTTATTTATTAACAAAGCTAGAGATGTTCTATAAAATATTCTTATTTAAAAATAGTCTTCTGGTGTATTAAAAACCGAGTTTAATAACGATAGAACATTATAACCATTTTGAACAATACTAATGCACAAAATAAATATAGTCATTGTTCAAATTAATCTCGTTTAACATAAATAACTAAGAGGAATTTTTTACTCCTCAATTATATCTTTAATTGTACAATATTATTTTCAATTATACAATTTAAATTTCTATTGTCTATAATTATAATACATGTATATAACACTAATATAAAAAAAAGTTCTCCCTTTTTTGTGTGTTCATATATTTTCTTATTTATAATTCAATAATTAAGTCGATAAAGGATGCATTATCACAAATACCGATTCTACTTCGTTATACACATAGAATAAATAATATGTCAATAATGCATCATTAAACAGTCATAATGAAAAAATCCAACAATCCCTGCATTCCTTCGGTTTTACAAGATCCTTTTTAGTCACAGTTCATAGATTTCGGTTCGTCAAAATTTATGGACGTGCATTAGCTGCAGCATTTTGTTGGGCTCGAATAAATTCTGGATAATCAATATAACCGTCGTTGTTACTGTCGTCCATGCTAAGTATCGGATCTATCAATTGCACTAATTCTTCATCTTTGAACAATTTATCGCCTTGCACACCACCAGTTTCCGAACCACCTTGTTCTACGGATATAAGGAAAATACTTAAAAATTCATGATTATACAAAATGTAATAATAAAAGAGAGATAGATTTAGTTTATATGTACCATGCCAATGTATAAGAGACTTGATCAGCTCACAACCGTCTAACTTATTGTTATTATCTGCATCATGCATTTTGAAATAATGGAACTGCAGCTCCTGATCTGTCATTTTGCTGGTATCTATTGGTACGTCAGCATGCTCAGCAATATGTCTACAAAAAGAGAAATACTATCATTATTTAATTAATTTATATTACATCTCATAATAATTATTATATATTATTATAATATATGTATCATTATACATGCTTTATATATATATATATATATAAAATATATAACACCTACTCTTTTTCATGCGCTATATTGGCAGTGTTAAGTAACTGAGGTGGTCCATGACCATGTCCATGTGGTTGATGATTTTGAGACTGTTGACCAGGCACTTGTTGAACGGGTACTTGCTGCTGTACAGGTACTTGCTGTTGCGCAGGTACCTGTTGTTGTACAGGTACCTGTTGCATTGGTGCTTGCTGAACAGGAACCTGCTGCTGTACTGGTACATGATACTTGAACAGAATATTAAATCCAATATTATTGAAATCGATGAGCAAATATAAATTATAGTGATATATTAAAGATAATAATTTTACATGTTTAGGCAATGTAAATATAAACCTACCTGTTGCTGCGGTACTTGCTGCGCATGTTGTGGTACTTGAACATTCTGAAATAGAAAAATAATTATGAATAAATAATATAAATAATAGAATGTATAACAGACTACTATAATACTAAATAACAGCTGTTTATTTTATAAATCATATTAAACATTTCCACACAAGGATTTATGTCAATACAATTTCATTCTATATTTGGATGTTAAAACACACGGGATAATAATTAACTTAATGTTTATTTATTAATAGATGAAATAATTATATCAGCTTTATGCCTTGCTTGGAATCGGCTCCACGTCATATAGTACTAGGAAGCACCGCTAAACATATGTTCGCCAATTGATTGAGAAAAGCGCATTACCTGCTGATAATGCTGAGGCGGTACGCCAGGTGCGACTCTTTGCGCCTGGACGAGGATGTATTTGGATCCAAACGATCCAATTATCAGCGCGTACAGTGTCCAATGCATCTTCGTTGCACTCTTCGAAAAAAAGAAAACAACATACACGTTAGTCGATAGGCTCGTAGGATATCGCCGATTGCTTGTGCGCTGTTTTGTATGTACATGCGACAAAATCTCAATTGATCCTGCGAGATCGCAATGAGCACCTTGTTTACGCTAGGAAATGTCTAGGTGACTTGTCATCTGCGTGAACGTTTCGTTCATCGACGATTACGAGTTTCGAGCGGACCGCCGTGCTCGTCGTTCTTGAATTACGTCCCCAGAAAAACGTGTGAACTGACGTGGACAGAAAGACAGAAAAAGAGATACCGCGCGTAAAGATCATGGTACAAGAAATTCAAATGTGTTCGTTCTCGAGACGAATTTCGTACGGTTCTGCGCAGATGCAGTAGATGTCAGACGCAGCCATTCAAACATTTGCACCGCGGTAATTTTGAATGTATAATACATGTCGAAAGTTGCTATTTGCTATCCACACATCGAGAGACTTGCTCTCGACAATGAGATATTAAAAAACTGCTAGTCTTATGGAAGTTCGCGTCAATGTAAAATTTAAACCAATAAAAAACCGATGAGACTAGGCCAGATTCGGCGCGCAATTATATAGGCATAAGCACCCAAGATCCAGCTTGACTGTTACGGTCTGTTCTCATTGGTTTAAATTCTCACAGTCTTATAAGATTTAATATTAAGTCAAAAAGTTATAGTTATCATATTTTGTATATAAGTTTGAAATTATTTTTAATCGTAAAAGCCTTATAGCAAATTAAAGATGATCAGTGCTACAAAGAGCTAATATAAAAGACATTTATATAAATTTTTTATAATTTCACGTAATAGATAAAAGTTTTAATCAAGAGAAAGAAAAAAGATTGTGTGAGTGTGTTATTCTTCTGTTGCACGAGACACTTGTATTTATTACAGATTTAGTAAAAAAATCTTTAATAAATTTAAATTTGTTTAGATATATTCTTTATAATTCTAATTTTTTATAATCTACTTAAACATCTTATTTGGATAATATATTCTATAAAATCTCGGTACTTTTTGCGTTATACAAAAGCACTTTGGAAGCCAAGCATCAAAAATCTATAAAAAATGCTTAATTGGGTTAAATAACTTTTTACTAGTATAATTAATGTGTAAAATAAATATTTAATAAACATTTAATAATTATTACTTTTACAATCAATTGTACAATGCATAATTAACAAAAAATAAATATTCATTTCATTTAAAAGACTTTATCTGCTGATTGAGTAAAAGCATAAATAATGTAAATTTAACTGCAGTTATATATATATACATTATATGTACAGAATTTACATTATTTATACTCTTATGAGATAGAGAAATTGTGTAAAAATAATAATTAAAACTTTTAAGCAATACATATATGCATATAATAATGTAAATTTAATTCTATACACACACACACACACACACACACATACACATGTATAGCTAATTTTTATATTATTTATATGCATGTAAAGTAGAGGAAAATAGAAACAATACACTTTAAGACTTTTGCGTATTATCTTTATTTATTTTTTTTTAAATAAAATTCTTAGCAACACGTATTTATATTTCTATTTTTTAATTTAATTTAATTTTTACTACAGAATAGAAAATATCTATTGAGAGTGCTAAATTTTTGCAAAAACATTAATAATTTTTATCAATATATAGTTTTAACTTAAGAATTAAAACTAGGAAAAAAATACGATTATCTAGCACGATTCCTTTGTCGTTTTTTTATTTGTATAATCCTGTATTAATTCCTGTATAAAAAAGTTTAATGTGGATAAGAGCTTGGAGAAAATTACCGTAAAATTATAATAATATGTATCAGGATAAGAGTAGATAACTGTATTGAATCTTTTGTTAATAACAACCTTGCACTTTAGTTCAGGAGCTAAAGTGGAACAGACTTAATTTACATGTTTGTACTTTCAACCAGCTGTACATACATATAAAGACGACACTAAAAATTCAGCCAGTATTTTTTGAAGAATCGATACGAGAATGTTATTTATTAGTCTCTTTCATGAGAAATATCAGTCAGTGAAGACAGTATCACAAAACTATACATATGTATTAAGAGAAATAGATAAAATTATTTTATTTTTTTTATCATTTCACGGTTGGATTTACATTTATACTATTACGCGTTGAATAATGCGATGTTTTTACGCTCAGAACAACAGTAAGTAAAACGTGCAACAAATAATGCTGTTGCGGTTAATCTCTTGAGTACGCGCAAACGCAATCCATAAAATAAAGTCAATTAATTACATATTGTAAAATTAATGAAATAGGTATGAAAATTATATCACTATCGCATAAAAACGGGCCATGTTTTTTTTTATTTAGAGAATATTATCGCTTTCGTTTTGCTATTGATTAAAAATTAAAAATAATTTCAATTTTGAAATGTCTGCAAATCGTATTGATACATCAATTTGAAATAATAACATCAAAGATAAACTTACAATTACGATTATTTTAAAGTTTTAATTATTTAATTCCATTTTATACATAATTAATATTAATTATAGTTGAAATATCTGTTATAACTAATACATTGATACATGTAATAGAAACCATCAAACCAATACATTAACACATATTTTAAAAACGAATATATATTAATAAATAATATAGGTATTAAAAAAATATATATAAATATAACGTAACAAACATTAGAAGATGTTTAATATCATTCTCATTCTTATTTTTTTAGCATATCCATTATGAATAAAATCAGAGTAGAAGTAACTGAAGGAAAATTAGTTGGCGTGGTCGTAAATGGCTATAATGTTCGTTATCTTGCTTTTCGCGGGATACCATACGCTAAACCTCCAATTGGCGAACTGAGATTTAAGGTAAGTATAATACATATCTTATCGTTATACGAAAACGGATCTTGTAAAATCTTGCCACAAACTTTGTTATCAAAAAGAATATAAATTGTCGCAGCAAGATTTGATATATCAAATAATGTCGGCAATTTGTTACCAAATATGTAACAAAATTGATGTCTTAGTTTGGTAGCAAATTGATAATAAAATACGAATAAATGTATTTATACAAATTATTATTTGTATAAATTGGTGCCTATAAATTATTAGTAAATTGCTTACTTTATATCACATACGTAGGATTCAGTACCAGCTGAACCATGGTTTGGTGAAAGAGATGCTTCGAGGTACGGAAGTATGGCTCTTCAATTAGATCTTACTACGCACGAAGCTATAGGCAATGAAGATTGCCTGTATTTAAATGTGTACACCATGAAAATCGAATTATTGGAAAAGCGTCCGGTAATGGTATGGATACACGGCGGTGGCTTTTTTGTAGGTTCTAGTGATGCAAGCTGGTATGGTCCTGATTATATTATACAAAAAGGCGTAGTATTGGTTACTCTGAATTATAGATTAGGCGTGCTGGGTATGTCATCTATTACTATATATATATATTGTATATATATATATATATTTCATGTCTCTATATTACTCGTGTTCGTAGTTTTATCAAATTTAATTCCTTTTAGAGGAAAAGAAGTAGAAAATTGTATTTAATTTATTAATCATAAAATAAGCAGTTAATCTTACGCTGATAAAAATTTCCAGTTAAAAATAAATAAATCAGAAAATTTTAATAGTATAAATCTCAGCAAAATAGTATTAATCTCAGCTAAACATTATAATAATAAATTAGAAAATTCTGATTTGTCCATTTCCAATCAGAATTCTAATTAATTAATACAACTAGACTCTTTTTCCACTGTGTAAGAGAAGAAAATACGATTTTAGGTTTTTTGAACCTCAACGATAAAGTAGCAGCAGGCAATCAAGGTCTGAAAGATGTGGTTTTAGCTTTAAAATGGGTCCAAAAAAATATATTGAAATTCGGTGGAGATCCAGGAAATGTCACTATCTTTGGCCAAAGTGCTGGTGCAGCCATTACACATTGTCTAGCTCTGTCTCCATTAACTAAAGGTACTATTTATTAACTTTTTTTTATAAAGTCCTCAAATCTCTTGTATTTTAATCTAAATTCATTAAGCGACTTAAACTTGAATTTTTCATGAATAAAAGCATTTAAACGCTATACATTCATGGAGATAGCTGAATAAAAGAAAAATCGTTTTATTAATTCTCTCTCCATCTTTTATAAATAAATATTATTATAAGTTTTATTTCTTTATATGTGTGTGTTAATATACATATGTGTATATATGTAACAACTCATTTTTACTAAAATTACAAAGAGATACGTATGTACCGTGTCAATATTAATACTTAAAAATTTATAAAAAAAAATTATTTTCAACAATGTTTTTTATAAAATTATCGATATCAAATTATGTAGCTAAGAAATTGATAATTTAAACATGCATTCTGAACGCACTATATACACTAACTTGAATGAAAGGAAAGCAAAATTTTATAACAATGAATTTACTAGATGAATTCAATTCATGACTTATATTTTGTAGGTTTATTCCACAAAGTGATCTCACAAAGCGGCGTTGCTTTAAATCCTTGGGCTTTCCATGAATGGACGGATCATGGTTTTCGGCTTGCCAAAAAACTCGGAAAGGCAACATCAGATCCAAAAGTCGCATATGAGTTTCTAAAAACGATTGATGCAAAAATACTTACAAAAAATTCCCAATGGCCACTTCGCACAGAAGAAGTAAATATTTCAATACCTTTTTATAATATAAATTATATTTCTATATCATCTTGATTCATTACATGTATAGAAACTAAAATTTTGATACATGAATAAAATATTTTCACATTTGTAACTTCAGGAGAAATTGAGTTTTAGCCTGTGCTTCACACCTAGTCTGGACAGTAAGTCATCGAATCCATTTTTTCCTAAACATCCAATGGAATATATAAGCCTCGGGATTCACGTGCCCTTCCTTCTAGGATTTAATCGTGACGAAGGAACATTTATTTTACGTAGCAACTTTTTTGGAGGTAATATGTACTAATACATATTACATTTTAGCCTCGTTCCGTTATTGTTCACTAAATACTGAAAATATATAGTTCATACTCGTTCGGCATGTTATAGATTTTCAATAGACTCGCATTGAATAACGGAAAATGCCTTTTGTCTCTTTCACTAAACATATATATTTAATGCGGGGTCTACAATAGAAATCATAATAATCGTAGGGTCTTAAAAAAAAAAATCGTTGAAAATTAATCAAACAGTCAAATATTAAAAAATAATCGACTATGATAGGTTAATTTTCTACATTCTACGACTGCTGGATTCTATTATAGACCCCGTTTCTCATTCACTTTTATCTTTTTATACAAATTTCTATATAATTCGATCAGATAAAAAATAATACGATTTTTTGATATCCACATTTAACAAACATATTTTCATGATATTTAAAATGCTTTCATATAATATTAAAAAATAAATTTTATTTTATTGTAACTTACTAGTTCATAAATAAGAATTATTAAATATTATATCTTAATTAGAGTATTTCTTAATTGTCATATGTGTTAATTTAGAGATACATATATTTTGTATAAACACACACATAAACACACATTATAAAGTCAATTATTTCTTAGTAATAATATTCCTGAAATATAATATATTATTCGTTTGACATATCCTAACATGATCATTATATTTACACTTTTAAAATTGTTTCAGATATAAGCAAGGAAGATTTGGAAAAAGTAAATGCCGATTTTAAAAAAACAATATTATCAAATATAATATCCAAGTTACCTGAAATAGGAATTACTGTCGAGGAATTAAGATCTTTATATTTTGGGAAAAAAGATATATCAGAGGAAACTTTGATAAATTATTCACATTTCTTAGGAGACGAATTTTTGATACATGACATAATAAATGTATGTGAATTGCAAAAGTCTTCTGGTGGTTATAAATCTACGTATCTATATCATTTTGAGTATGAGAGTGAAAGTTCTCTTTCAAAAAAACTGCAACATATCAGATTTCCAGGTACAATATCGCTATTTAATTGATACAATCATATAAAATTTCTTATTTTAAAAACTGTAAATGTACTTTTACCAGTCGTGCTTTTAAATCTAAACCTTTATGTTAAATCATTACATTACGTTTATTTAATTTGCATCTAAAAATCATGCATAAAGTAATAAAAGCATATAAATATCTTCTTTAATAAAAAATTAATATTTAGAAATTAAAAAATTTCAGAATTAACAAAATATTAATTTAAAACGACAATTATGACAATACTATGTTTTAAGAACAATTTATTAATGTAATAATATTTTGCAGGAGTGTGTCATGGAGAGGAATTATTTTTTCTTTTTTGCCCACAAGCTGTAAAAGTATTGAACTTATCGTTACCCAAACCAGGTTCAAAAGATTATAAAATAATAAATTATCTTACGCAAATGTGGACGGATTTTGCTAAAACAGGGTATAAAAATTTTGTTTTATATTATATACAGAGACATGTATTATTATATGAATATTAATAATGAATTTTACTTTAATTTTTAGAAATCCAACTCCTGCTACAAATTTATGGTTACCATTAACTAGTCCGCAAAACGAAGACTGCAATTATTTAAATATTAATATAAATCCAGAAATGAAAATTTTTCGTAAAGGAAAGGAACGTTGGAATTGGAAAAGTCGTAAAGAAACGTTCTCTCTCTAACACTCTATTTTCTAAAATCTTGTCAATTATGATTTAATGTCTCATTCTGAATTATCTTTTGTTGTATAATTACTTATATAGCATTTGTTTGAAAAAAATAAATATTTACATTATTAGATAATAACGTGAGAGTTTAAATAATGCATATCATTCACGATGCAGCAAAAAATATTCAAGGTTGTTAGAAAATGCTATTTCGACAAGAAAATATAAAAAGTTTGAATATGATACTCAATAATTATTATCAGGCAAATCCAACGCTGCGTTCAACAATTTACTGTCAGTACTAAAAATCTATAGTTTACATCACGTGCACTACAGATTTTCAATACTGGCAGTAAATTTTAGGATACAGCCTCTAATGACAAATAATTCGGGAGTCGAATAACGTCGGGTAAATTATTAATTCGGGTAAATTAATATTTTTGCTTTAAAAATGTAAAAATTTTATGAAAATAAGCTTTTAAATACAAAAAGTTTTATACAAAACTATACATACATCTTTCCAAAAAATTTATAAAAATTTGTTACTTTTATTTTTGTGATTAGATTAGTAGAAATCTCTTAATGCATTATAAGATGATCTTAAATATTATATAACAATAAACTATTGAAAAAACGTCAATGCAATAGCAAAGAATTGGTATAAAAAAGAGTAGGTATTTATATTCAAACAATCATTTTTCTTCATATTTTAGTGATCTCGTTTTTCTCAAAGCTTAGACATTATAATCTCCGAAATCAACTACTCCGAATCGAATTATTATTTGTGAATAATATTCATAATAAATATATTATCCGTAACACAATCTTTTTATCCACTAATAATTGATGTATCAAATCATTGTCGACTTATAAATGTAGTTTGAATTTAGACTCACCGTTTTGCTATCGCTGTGATAATATCATGTTAGTTGCACTTTCTGTTAAATTAATAACACTATAGTAAGCGATTCTATTAGTTTCTAGACGACGTTTGTGTCTGTGTGTGCGTGCGTGCGTGCGTGGGTGCGTGCGTGCGTGCGTGCGTGCGTATGTGTGTAAGCGGGAGCGGGATGTGACGCACGGGGTGAGACCGGCTATGTAAAGTTGGTCTCCCTCTATTATTAAAAATCTAAAAATGACTATCAATTCGCTCTCCGCAGCACTTTACTCTTGCAGTGAGGCGTAATCATTTTGGGGGTAATTTACCAGTCACCTTAGGGGGTGAGCACAAAAATTTCGTTGGCATATTTTGAAAGTATAAACGGAGGAACAATTTGAGCATACAACCAATTTGTTTCTTGTATTTAAACTGGCACTTTACTCTTGTACGATGTTATGTATCGAAATTTATATTGACACATATATCTTTTAAACCGTTACAGTTACAATAATATTGATTTATTATTTTGAAGGCATATAAAAAGTACATAATTTTGCTGTACTAATTTTTTGATTTTTTGTATAATTTAATGAAGGAGGTGTTAACTTAACATTAAGCCAGCACCTCCACTTTTAATCGCGATTTTCTGCCAAACTAGTCGAGCACAAAAATTGACATTACAGCACATGATTAGCATATAAAAAACATTTAATTCTGGCATAGATGTCATTTTGACTTTTTATGGGGAGATGCATATAACTTAACAGACATATTAATTTTATTTAAAAAATATGTTTAATATATTATATATTAATATTAATGTTTTACATTATATATAAAATTTTTTGTAATTATTAAAACATTAAAATGAATATGATAATTCATTCGTTTATAATTTTATTATTTATATAGAAAAGCAATTTTAAGATAAAATTTAAACAAACAGACCGTTAGAATATTTTTTTATGATTTTCCCAATTCCAGCGTTCCTTTCCTTTACGAAAGGTTTTCATTTGTAGATTTATATCAATATTTAGATAACTGTAGTCTTCACTTTGTGGACCGGTTAATGGTAACCATGAATTTGTAGTAGGCGTTGGATTTCTAAAAATTGATTTGAAAATTGATTAATTATTGATATATACAGGGTGTCATTAACGGATTAAATCACTTATCAAGAGCAGGAAAACGTCCTGCGCCGCGCACACCGCTGCGAGTCACTAAACTCGGACGGCGCGTCTGCCATGAGGCCATCCCCGCGTCTTGCGACCCACGTACATAGAGAGCGATTGAGGGACGTACACACTTTTGGCAATAGTAAGCTGGACGCGTTTATTTGACTATTTTTAAAGTCTAATATCTCGTTAAATATTGCATCTCGTTAAAAACTGCAAAATAATACAAGACTTTTAGACCAGTTCGGTCTACTTTACCTGTGCTCTTGATAAGTGATTCAATCCATTAATGACACCCTGTATATTTGAATGTTTCCTACAAAATAAAGAAAAAAATGTGAGTACCCTGTTTTAGCAAAATCCGTCCACATTTGCGTAAAGTAATTTATCATCGTGTAGTCATTCGAACCAGGTTCGGGTAGCGAAAAGTTCATTGCTTTCGCCATTTCTGGGCAAAATAAGAAAAATAAATCCTCTCCGTGGTACACTCCTGCAAAATAATGTTATATTAGTAAATTATTCTTATTAGTAAATTATTCTTAAAATTGCAATTTATTATTTCTGCTTTAAATATATATTTTTTTCTTAATTTTTTATACTTTTGTAAAAAATGTTCCATATCTATTAATTTTGATTGTATTATAGCTTAATACAACAAAATATAATTTTGATTGTATTATAGCTTAATACAACGCTAAACACAATTCGATATAAAGATTCGAAGACATCACTAGATAGTATTTAAAAGTGTTTTGTATTGTTTTATATAAGATATTTTACATGATATTTTATTGATAAATTAGCGATATTATACCTTTAACTTCGATGTTTAACATTTTTTTCATAATAGTTTCGCTTTCATAATCGAAATGATATAAATATGTAGATTTGCAACCACCAGAAGATTTTTGCATTTCACATACTTCCATTATATCACGTACAAAAAATTCATCTCCCAAGAAATCTGAATAATTTGTCAAAGTTTCCTCTGATATTTCTTCTTTTCCAAAATATAGAGATCTTAAGTCGTCGACAGTAATTCCTATTTTAGGCAATTTAGACAATGTATTTGATAATATTGTTGTTTTAAAATCAGCATTTACTTTTTCCAAGTCTTCCTTGCTTATATCTAAAATAATTTCAAAAGATGATTATAATTTCAAAAGATGATTACTTTAGGGTAATATGTATACTAAACGAATAATATTTTAGAGACATTTTTGCTAAGAAATAATTAACTTTGTAAAGTTGAAAATATATTATTAAAATACCACATTAAACTTAACATTTTTATTATAAAAACATGCTAATTAAGAAATATGCTAAATGTCATATTTTATTACTGTTAAATACGAATAAATAATATACACACATATATTCGAATATTTTAATTAGTATTTGTTCCAATTGTTCCTGTTAACATTATTCAATATTTTTAGTTATTATTATAAAATTTTTTGTTAATACTGTCAGCATATTTGTGTTAAATGTGGATATCAAAATCGTAATATTCTTAGCATGCCACACTGTATAAAATTTAGTGTAAAATAAAAGCAAAACAAAGACATATTTAATAAAAGTGACAAAATATATAATGTACTCCGATTATACTACCTCCAAAAAAAATTCCTTTTAAAAGAAATGTTCCTTCATTACGATTAAATCCTAAAAGGAAGGGTATTTGAATTCCGCGGCTCATATATTCCTTTGGATGTTCAGGAAAAAATGGATTTAATGACTTAGTGTCCAGAGTTGGTGTGAAGAGGTTCACGGTAAAACTCATTTTCTCCTGATAATGTTATAAATCAAATTAAACATTTTATTCATATGCCAAACTTTATTCTCTACACATGTAACGAATCAAATTCTATTATACGACTAGTATAATCTACAGGGTGTCCGGAATTTAAATTTCAAAACTTCGGGAGCATGTAAAGGATCGATAAACTAAGAAAAAATGTCTTGTAGAGATATGCTAGTTTTTGCTTTGTTTTGGAGAAAATTGTAAAAAAGTAATATTACAAAAAGTAAATTGTAAAAAGCAAAACGTAGTTTTTGTTTTCGTATTTTTTTTGTTACTTATTCATGTTGTATTTATTCACTTGCTTAATGTAGATATTGCAGTTTAAAATGTTAGCTTCTTGTAGGAATGCAAGCATATCAGTACAGACAGCTCGTGTTGCAGCCAAACATTCATCTGGTGATATTTAGTGCACTGCAGCTTCGATTCGATTTCTCAATTGTTCTCTAGAGTTTATTGACAATTAATAAACTTCCTGCTTCAGGACCCCCACACAAAGGAGTCTAGTAATGTCAGATCAGGTGATCGGGTGGCCAAGACACTACTCCTTCACATCCAAGAACAAAACAACTTTTGTTTTTTTGCAATTTACTTCAAAACGAAGCAAAAACAAGTATATATTTTTATAGAACTTATTTCTTACAAGTTTATCAATCCTTTACACTTTACCGAAGTTCTGATATTTAAATTTCGAACATCCTTTCAGGAGACGCGGTAGTGTCTCCGGCTATATTTAAAAAACTACTAGTTAATTTAAAGTTAGTTTAAAAGGTTAATAATAGACACTACAAGTCTCTTATCCCGAGCCACCAAAGTCCATTTTTGGGAGGTGTATAATATCTAAAATATAAAAAATTTTGTATTGAACGTTATATGTCCTGAAAAGCGGCATCGCCACGAGTAATTTGAGCTAAAAAAATTTAAAATCGGTCAAGCCGTTCTGGAGATACAAGCAGTCAAAAAGTGATGATTTTAATGAAAAATTAAGAAACGTCTCCTTCTCTGTCCGTTCGTCCGTCCGTCCGAAATTATAACTTTTTAACATCCCCTCTCACCTTTCACTCACATCCTTTCTCCACCATCTTCGACTCATCGCACACCCTTTCCCTCCCCTCTCCCACCCCCACCACCCCTCTCTTTCGCCGTATTTCACTCTCTTTCGTTATATAATATTTTTAAATCATTTATATATATATATATATATATATTTGTGATATATTTGTACTCTGAAAAGTAAGTGATATCCGAAAAAAATCATATCATAAAAATGAATAGTTCAAGCCATGTTCAAAAACAAGATACTCAAAAATTTAAACTTTCTAATAATAATATATTAAGGCACTCACTGTTTCTGTAAAAATTGATCGATATGAATTTTCCGTAAGTGTTTTCGCGTCAGTTGTCTTTAAAAACTCATATACGATTTTCGGATCTGTTGTTTCCTTTCCGAGCTTTTTTGCAAGCCGAAAACCTCCATCCATCCATTCATTGAAGGCCCAAGGATTTAAAACGACGCCGCTTTGTGAAATTGCTTTATGGAATAAACCTGCAAGGCATAGTCATAATGCAACTAATTCATTAAATACGATATCGTAAAATTTTGCGTTTCTTCCAACTATATAGTAAAAATTTTAAAATTATAGTAACAATTTTAGAGTTTATAGATTTTTTAAATTATTAATTCTTTAACTTATTTAGTATCAATAATTTCTTAACACATTAATGTTAAAAAAATGTATTAATCTCCAGGTTAAATTTTTTTAATTTCATCACTTTATTGTATATTTATATGTATAATCACATAAGTACGTATGTATAATCTCTTATTATTATTAATTAAAACATAAATAAGAGTTTTTGACTCATACATAACGCACACATTACAAATTAAAACTTTTTGAAAATATTTATTTCTGGAAGAAACGGAAAGTTCATGAATTTATTTTGTTTTTTTCAACTATTTCTAAATGCATCAGTATTTGAACGCGTGCGCTTTCGTTAAATCAAGTTCAAGTTAATCCATGAACAATGTCAAAAGTATGAAGGTATTGTAATGAGAAGATTATAGATCGTATACCTTTAGCTAGTGGAGATAGAGCTAGGCAATGTACCATGGCTCCACCAGCACTTTCTCCAAAAATAGTAACATTTTCTGGATCTCCACCAAATTTTGATATATTTGTTTGAACCCATTTTAATGCTAAAACCACATCTTTCAGACCTTGATTACCTGTTGCTACTTCATCGTTGAGATTCAAAAAACCTAAAACCGTATTAATTCTTATAAGGTTAATATATTTCATTTGAAAGTACATAATAAGAAAACAAATAGAAAAGGAAGCTTTAGTTTTAGAACTAATAGGTTAATTATAATTCTCTCGTTTTTCTGTAAATAATATTTTACTTTTAAATCTTTTATTGCGACTGTAGAAATTTTGCCATAATAATAATAGAAAAATACTATGAACAGTTAAATGAAACGTAGTGGATGAAAACTTTAAGTCAATTATAATATGTAATGTTAATAATATTATAGTTAAAACACTTCTATTGTAAAACCAGACGATAGATATTCCATCTCTTTCAAAATGTTAAAAAAATCAGCTGGAATCGATTCCTGTCTGTCCGTACTATATTCACTCTTATTTAATATTTTTAGTAATATTTTCAATAATGTATTTACATTAACTATTTTTATTAAAATTATCTAACATAACTTATATATGCTAATAATGCTAATGAGTTATACATATAATAAAAATAAAAAACCTTTAAACTTAAATGTGAGAAATTCTGAGAAAAACCTACGAACGGGAGGAACATACAATAAACATATAATATTTCAAAATAATAGATAACGTACCCAGAACGCCTAATCTATAATTCAAAGTAACCAATACTACGTCTTTCTGCACGATATAATCAGGGCCATAAAAATTGTCGTTACCAGAACCTGTAAAATAGCCACCGCCATGTATCCATACCATTACCGAACGTTTTTTTGAAGGTTTGATCTTTGTGGTGTATACATTTAAATAGAGACAATCTTCATCTCCTATAACTTCTTTTCTGGTAAAATCTATTTGAATAGCCATGTTCCCATACTTCGAAGCATCTCTATCACCGGACCATGATTCTGGTGGTACCGGATCCTAAAATATGTAAAAAATGTTATCATAAATATGTAACTACATTATGTGTGAATGTACATTATGCTTCTCTATCCGTAATTAATTCGTCTACATTAAAAAAATCGGATTCTATCTTAACTTCAAATTTTAATTTTAAGAAAAATCAGTTAAAGTTCATCTTTCTGTTATTATTAAAAAATTTTATTGCGCGTTTGTATATATATGTATAACGACACTATAATATTTACCTTAAACCTGAGTTCGCCAACTGGAGGTTTGGCATATGGTATTCCACGAAAAGCAAGGTAACGAACATTATAACCATCTACAACGACGCCAATTAATTTTCCTTCAGTTACTTGTACTTTTATTTCACTCATATTGAATATACTAAAAAAAAATAAGTATGAAAAGAATATTACAAATTCAAACTCGTCTTTGTTATAATATTTATATAAGGTAAACGTTCTAATGATCAGACATATATGTTTGTCCTAATCTTTACACAACATTTTTTTGTTTATGATTATTAATCTCAAAAATGCTTTTTGAAATAATTTAGAAATACAATTAAATTATAATATGTATTATAACAGAAATTTAAAATTTATGATAACAAATCTTGTATAAGACATAGGTATATGTCCTGGGACATTTACTTTATATGTGCATTTATTTTAAATATGTACTGACATTGATTTGATAGTTTCCATTTTTATATAACATATATATACATATATTATTGTATTATTTACAACACAACGGACTTTAACTAATAATATCAATTACATAAAGCGAAATCTTTGAAACTATAAAACAGTCGTAATTGTAAGTTCTATAATTTTAACTCTTCTGATATTATTAGATTTTTCAAGTCATAATGTCATACGATGCGCAATTTCATTATAAAGAAACGCGATTAAAAGCACTGCATATTGGACAAGCGATATATTACTAATATCCTCTTTATCTTGTTGCTTTGCTATTATTTTTAATTCTTTATTAATAGCAACGAGCGGTATTAATCGAATTATCCATGAATTAAGCCGGATAGAATATGTCAATCGCGTCCTCAATATAATGTGTGATACAATGTTCATACCGTAATTCAATAAAATATGATTGTGTAATCGACTTTATTCTCCTGAAATCTGTTTGCTTATACTCAAAAGATCGTCGATTAACATTATTCGTCGCGCGTCTTATTGTTGTCACTGTGATTGGAATATTTCGTTATTCAAACGCACTATATACCATATAAATCTATCGATGAAATTATGAAAACAAATTTTAAAAAAACCTTATATTTATTTCTGCAGCTTCTAAGTGATTTCGTGATACACAGTCTTTATTAATAAATTTTTCTTACAAGCACTAACAGATGACTTGCTATTCTTTATAGAGGACTGACGTGTTTTCATAAATGGATGTCCTTATATATCTCTGTTTGAACGTATAAATATCTACTTACGTGTCGAGAAAGGAAAAATATTATTTACAAGTGATTTAAAGTTTTTTCTCTTTCTACTGTTTGAGCACCTTATACTTTTCTCTCTTTAAACAGAAGATAACATTATCTAACTAGTTTTATGATAGAACTATGTGATATTCTTATCTTGTAAAAACATATTTTTATACAATAAATATGTAAGTAAAAATATACATGTACAATATATGTATGTGTGATATATGATGATTAGACTTTTTTAACCTTTAGACTGCCGGAAAGCCGATATATCGGCTCTGAGGAAAATCAGTTTTTTCTATAAGAAGCATATGTGTATGTTTACCAAATTTACATTTAAAAAAAAATTTAGATTCATACATCCAGACAACCACATATGATATATACAAATAGAAGTAGTTACGAATGTAATATTTGTCATGTTGCTTTATGTATAGATCCATGCTTTGAGATTTATCATATACGAAAGGAATTCTACCTTGATTCATGCAAATTTCGTGAAATCGAAAATATAATTGAGTGAAGTACGAGAACTGATAATAATAAGACTCAAAAACACAAAAAACTAAAAAAAATGAATAAAAAAATAAAAATAAAAAAAAATAAAAATAAAAAATAGAAATTACCATCAAATTCAGCGCCCCTAAAAACCCTTATTAATACTTTATTTAAAAATTTCATGATCAAAAATTTTTTCTTTACCTTATCCTGCCGGGGAGCCGATATATCGGCTCGGCCTATGATATGAACTTTTTATATAGTTGATACATGATACAAGACACAAATTTGGCCACTTTTAAAGGGCGGTTTAACATCTCAAATCCCGGCAGTCTAATGGTTAATCGTTATATGTAAATACATTTTTTTTAAGATGATATAAAAATTATTTTATTTATAACCAATAGGAAATAATGATTTTAGTCTAGTTGGATCTTAGTGCTTATATAATAGGGTAAATTTAAATATTATATATGTATTATACTCCTTCAAATTGTGTGCCGAAACTATTTTTGATCTTGAAACGCGCAAATTCTACTAAATTATCGCAATAATATCACGAGTTAAATTGATTAGCAATTAAACAATTTGATACTCTTTACGCATTTCAAAGAGATTTTAATAATGTTGAATAATATATTAAAATCTGTAAATAATTAATCCTTATTGTGAAAAATTATTACTTCAACCGGGAGTCAATCTATACGAACGTCTTAAACCTTTAGACTTAGGAATTGTACAAACATCTAAAGTCCATTCTACATTGATTGTATCGTAGCATCGTAAGCGTCGTGAGACTTTAAATTGACACATCGGATTGGCGCTATTACAACAAATTTGTGGCCTGCGATGCCTATGATATGACCAATGTAGAATGGGCTTAGGATTTAGTTAGACCATTAAAGGTATTATTTTCTATTGATTGTGTTTTCACATGTCCTATAAGATTTAATATTTAATATTTTATTTACGTTAGGCTGGGTCCACAACCTCGCTTTAAGAGGCCCTAAGCCGTAAAGCCGTAAGAAATTGACCAATCATAATTGAATGCGAGAAAAATAATTCTCTGTGATTGGTCAATTTCTTACGGCTTTACGGCTTAGGGCCTCTTAAAGCGAGGTTGTGAACCCAGCCTTAAGAAGTTTGTATTTTAGAGATACAAAAATTTAATTTTTTATGTTTCTTACATTTATATTTTTTTAGACAAGGCAAAAAAATTGTTTAAATGCAATATATAATAAACTTTGTAAGAGTGTTTGCAGTTACTTTTAATATATCATTTTCCAATCAAAGTTAACATTATTGAACTAATGACATTTGCAACACCTTGTTGTACCTTTCAATGCAATAAAGAAAATTTCTTAGGTTTGTTTCGCCCAAAAGAGTTGGGACCCACGAGAAGCACTAGTTGGTAAATCACGAAAAAACGCTCACTTTCACATAACTTCAACACTTTATTTCATAATTATTTCTACTTTTACAAATTAATTTTCCCGTTGCTATAATTTAGGTACAATTGATTCCCGAGGCTGTGTTAATGTAATTATTATTACTTAAAGAGACACGATATCATGTAATTTCTCGCTCTCACGATACTTCGTCACCAGCCGCTGTTAGCGGATTATATGACACCGGACGGTCGCATCGCACGTGTTAAATCCTTCTACAATTGCGTAAGCGTAGTTGTAAATGGTTATAGTTGTATGAATTAACCAATCACAGTCAAATATGAAGAAAATGATTAGTCAATTCTTACAACTACAGCCACTTACAACTACATTTACGCGATTGTAGAATGGGCTTTAGTCTAATTTACTGTACGAAATCTCGCTTTCTGCAATTAGGCAGTCGAATATAAAGGAACCGCGGTGTCGCGCTACTGCGCACTTTGCAAATCGATATGACCATGTACGGTAATATCCGGTAACGAATTTATCCTTGCACATACGACCTTCGTTCGCGCGTGGATGCTGAATTTATGCTCTTGCATTTCAGCTCATTGCCATGCTGAAATGCAAGGCTCAAATGTGATAGCAATCTTGCATTTCCGCGAGGCTCGTTGATATGCAGAAATGCAAGACTTATTCGTTGTAACTTTTGAGCTACAACAATCTATATCATTTAAATGTATAACGTTATTGTAATCTTCAGTAAAATAAATGTAGCACGCATAACTATCGGTTTATCACATAACATTTATCAATTATGTTTGATCTATAATATACTTCATCTTCGTATGTAAAATTTTTACTACGTATAATAGTATACAATAATAAACGATAAGATACAGGATAAATGTGTGCCAGCTGTTAAGACCTATATTTTTATTTATAATAAATATGTCTGTAAATTTTAATATTAATAGAGATTTTTAAATATTAATATATATATATATACATATATTAATAAATTTTATATTTTTATACATGGTTATGTATGTTTATATGTATATTTTTACATATTAATATATATTCATGCATGAACAATTTTTTACTAGGCTGTTACATCGCGACAACATTTGCTTCATATCAAAACTGTGCAATCTGTACTTACGAAACAGTAATCCACAGACTAGTAGTTTGCATGAAAAAATAAAGTGGCTTTCTTGGAATTTGACTTAGATATCTAATTAAAACGTTACTGTGTTACATGAAAATTTATATGTATGTATGAGTGAAATGTCGATATAGTAGAATGTAATGACATATAAATCGTGTGTGTGTAAGCCCTATTTGCACTATGGTACGTATAAAGCGCATAAAGTATCGTTTTATCTTTATTGTTCGCAGAGTGTTAAACAAGGATAAATGATACATCATGCGCATTTACGTGCAACAGAACGCAGCTTGTATGATTAATCGTCTTTAAAGCCGGTATTCATAGTCAGTTCTTATATTCAAGATTGTCTTAAGTTCTTGAGGAGTTACGAACCAATCAGAGGACCGCTTTAGCATCTTAAGACATTACTTAAGACAGTCTTGAAATAAGAATCGACTATGAATACCGGCTTAAGATCCCCTTTTGATTCATGCAAGAAAATAAGCTATGAAGCAATGCATAATAAATAGTAAATACAGAAATTAAACATATCAGCAGATCGCCGGCAATACATGAACGTTGAACGTATTCTAATATGCATCAAGATATCATGTAAATTTTTCTCTAGAATGAAAACTTGGAAAGTGTTATGTACGTATGTATGAACATATAGTATACACACATACGTACAAAAAAATTGTATTCCTCACTTTCCCGTCCTAAGAAAAAAGTTATACAAAAAAAATATTCTGCCAATAAACAGAGGAAATTCCTCTCAGCATTTCCTCTGAGCAAAAAATCTTACATAAATCAGACGTGTGTATTTATAATACGTATTCATCTATAAAAATGAGGACACATGAGCTATGATTAAAAATAAATTTCTCTATAGAAAATTCTATTATTATAACTGAAATAGCCTTTTGAAATAAGAAAATACTAACACATTATTATTAGAAGAAGTTTGTCATTTATGTTATCGTAGCTATGCGTGCATGTCAGTACCATACATGCAAGACAGATTGTAATTCTAAATCCAGCACTTTATGATTATACGAAATTCCTTTATTTTGTAAAGTATCTTCTTGAGGTAGTATATAAATGGAAAATTCTCTGATATATATGAACACGGAACTGCTAAATGGCAGAATATTTTTTTTTTGCATGATTGACCTTCAGATCAGAATTGTATGCATGCATACTTGTCATTCAAGAAATCGAGCATAGTGTAATTCCAGCTAAAATATTTGTTTTTTTCAATATATGTAGAACAAAAGATGACGCTAAAAAATCAACTAAATTTTAATAAAGAAGATCTATTTTGGAACAAATGGAACGTTAGAACGTTTTGTTAAAATTTTCCCAATTCCAGCGTTCTTTTCCTTTGCGAAAGGTTTTCATTTGTACATTTATATCAATATTTAGATAATTGCAGTCTTCGTTTTGTGGACCGGTTAATGGCAACCATGAATTTGTAGTAGGTGTTGGATTTCTAAAAATTGATTTAAATTAATTATATATTGTAATCTTCAGTAAAATAAATGTAGCACGCATAACTATCGGTTTATCACATAACATTTATCAATTATGTTTGATCTATAATATACTTCATCTTCGTATGTAAAATTTTTACTACGTATAATAGTATACAATAATAAACGATAAGATACAGGATAAATGTGTGCCAGCTGTTAAGACCTATATTTTTATTTATAATAAATATGTCTGTAAATTTTAATATTAATAGAGATTTTTAAATATTAATATATATATATATACATATATTAATAAATTTTATATTTTTATACATGGTTATGTATGTTTATATGTATATTTTTACATATTAATATATATTCATGCATGAACAATTTTTTACTAGGCTGTTACATCGCGACAACATTTGCTTCATATCAAAACTGTGCAATCTGTACTTACGAAACAGTAATCCACAGACTAGTAGTTTGCATGAAAAAATAAAGTGGCTTTCTTGGAATTTGACTTAGATATCTAATTAAAACGTTACTGTGTTACATGAAAATTTATATGTATGTATGAGTGAAATGTCGATATAGTAGAATGTAATGACATATAAATCGTGTGTGTGTAAGCCCTATTTGCACTATGGTACGTATAAAGCGCATAAAGTATCGTTTTATCTTTATTGTTCGCAGAGTGTTAAACAAGGATAAATGATACATCATGCGCATTTACGTGCAACAGAACGCAGCTTGTATGATTAATCGTCTTTAAAGCCGGTATTCATAGTCAGTTCTTATATTCAAGATTGTCTTAAGTTCTTGAGGAGTTACGAACCAATCAGAGGACCGCTTTAGCATCTTAAGACATTACTTAAGACAGTCTTGAAATAAGAATCGACTATGAATACCGGCTTAAGATCCCCTTTTGATTCATGCAAGAAAATAAGCTATGAAGCAATGCATAATAAATAGTAAATACAGAAATTAAACATATCAGCAGATCGCCGGCAATACATGAACGTTGAACGTATTCTAATATGCATCAAGATATCATGTAAATTTTTCTCTAGAATGAAAACTTGGAAAGTGTTATGTACGTATGTATGAACATATAGTATACACACATACGTACAAAAAAATTGTATTCCTCACTTTCCCGTCCTAAGAAAAAAGTTATACAAAAAAAATATTCTGCCAATAAACAGAGGAAATTCCTCTCAGCATTTCCTCTGAGCAAAAAATCTTACATAAATCAGACGTGTGTATTTATAATACGTATTCATCTATAAAAATGAGGACACATGAGCTATGATTAAAAATAAATTTCTCTATAGAAAATTCTATTATTATAACTGAAATAGCCTTTTGAAATAAGAAAATACTAACACATTATTATTAGAAGAAGTTTGTCATTTATGTTATCGTAGCTATGCGTGCATGTCAGTACCATACATGCAAGACAGATTGTAATTCTAAATCCAGCACTTTATGATTATACGAAATTCCTTTATTTTGTAAAGTATCTTCTTGAGGTAGTATATAAATGGAAAATTCTCTGATATATATGAACACGGAACTGCTAAATGGCAGAATATTTTTTTTTTGCATGATTGACCTTCAGATCAGAATTGTATGCATGCATACTTGTCATTCAAGAAATCGAGCATAGTGTAATTCCAGCTAAAATATTTGTTTTTTTCAATATATGTAGAACAAAAGATGACGCTAAAAAATCAACTAAATTTTAATAAAGAAGATCTATTTTGGAACAAATGGAACGTTAGAACGTTTTGTTAAAATTTTCCCAATTCCAGCGTTCTTTTCCTTTGCGAAAGGTTTTCATTTGTACATTTATATCAATATTTAGATAATTGCAGTCTTCGTTTTGTGGACCGGTTAATGGCAACCATGAATTTGTAGTAGGTGTTGGATTTCTAAAAATTGATTTAAATTAATTATAAATATATATATATATATAT